GAAAACCCTATGAACAGCAGCAGAGCATTGATACAGCGCAGGAAGGTGAGAGGATGGAGTAAAAAGATTGACCAGGGTTCAACTCTGCTGTCCATCCACAGAGGCTCTAGGAGTCAGAATCAACTTGATGGCACTAGCAAACCTCAGTTTGTAATCAATAGAAGAAAAGAAATCCATAGAATTTCATCTTTAAACCACAGATAGACAGTGAAGTGGTATGTTGAATTGAAATTGAAGCCAGGTTCAACCAGTGTTATTATAAGCAATCACTGTGTTCCTTTAAAGTTCTGTAGGCTCTCAAATCACAATGTCACAGCATGACGAAAGCCACAGTAAAGGCTCAAAAGCAAAGTTTTCATAAAGTGAGGGGAGTGGCAGCTATAAATTTAGTGTGGTTCAAAAAATCAGCAAAACCATCATATTACTAAAAGACATTACATGTTAACTTAGATTGAACATAAACAAAACTTATTTCCATTATAATAGATAAACACAAACTTCTAGAGCAGGTTTGGCAGTGGGAAGGAGATTAAAAGATAATAAGTTTGGTTGGGGAAATGCTAAGGACCTAGTAGGACAACACCAGGTGGTATTCAGATGCCTTTTCAGTGGCAGTAGATTGAATTACTGATATGTACATGGTTCTAGCATTATTTTATATGTAACTCTAACCTATATCACCCACCTTCCTACCTTCTCCTCCCACCATAAACACACAACTTGGAGAATCAGAAATAAGAATGTGGCTTTATATATTCATCTTTCAAAACATAATGCTGTATAAAAGAAATGGGTGGTTCATATGATTGCACATGCATATAAAGCTTCTGTAAATCGCATGATCATCTATTCTTGAACACTAGCTAGAGTGGGCAACAACAAAGATGCACTCCACACAAATGTAGATATCCATTTTTAACTCTGAGCTGAATAATTCTAGCTATTGATCTTAGGAAAGTTAACTAATTTAGCAAGTAAACTAATATATGAAAGATCCAAGAAGGGCCAAATCATACGTGATGTTATTAACTGTAGTAAAAAAGCAAAGATAATTCAAAGCAGTTTTTATTTTTTAAGGTATTATGTTCCAAATGGGAATGCTCCTTTTCATTTCAGTGATAGTGTAGGAAACACACTGAGTGGTGTAAAATGAATTGTTATTATAAAAACATAAACATTACCTAAAAAGCTCAAGTTCAGCCTTGATCAGCATCCACAATTCTAGCCCTTACCTGAGGCAATTACAATCAGGAGTTTGGCATTTATTTTTCTGAATGGCTCACACGGTGTGAGCCATTCTTAACACATATTTTTATAAAAAAGTTACTCTACTGCTGCACAGTATCTCCTTGTATGGGTGTACAAGTGTCCATTTTAGTTTTGCCCTATAGATGAGCATTTAGATTATTGCCAATTCTTTTTTTGTTTTGCTTGTATATGCAAGCCATGATGGAGTGAACAGTCTTCTCTATACTCTCCCTTGGACTCATAAGCAAATGTTTATCCAGGGTTGATGGAAAGGGCAAACACAAATGAGGAATAAGAGCCTTGATTCTCCCGGCTGAAAATAAGGGAAGAGCCTCTCCCCAACTCTTGCCTCCTCCCCCACATTTCTGCGAGTATTTATATTTGCAAACTTGTAAATTCTTTCTGTGACTCTTTGATATGTATGTAAATCTTTTTTTAAAGCTAAATGAGCCTCTCACCGGTTTTTCAAGGACCATCTCTTTGAAATGTAATTTTCAAGGGAGATGGAGCACCCAGGTGGATGGGGAGGAGCAGAACTTTGGGAGACCCTCACACCAACTTGCAAAATTACCTCCTGCCATAAGGATATAAGTTTGTCTTCCTTCGGATAAAGTCAATGGGCTAACACAGATGGTCACCCCAATTACCAACTGAATTCAGGATGAACTGTGTGTGACACATGGTGCCGTCAAGTCCTCTTCCCTGAGTACGAGTTACTGTTTATCTTGAGAACATGTATGGAATGGGTTGTACCTACTGGGCTCTATAAAAGGGTGACATTTCTTTCTGTCTTTACGATCTCTTACAGTATTGACTATGATGACCATATTCTGGCTTTGAGCTTATTCAGTAATAAAACTGCTTTCTTTCTCTTCTACTTTTGTGGAGATGTTTTCTGGGCTGGGAGGAGATTTTGTATTTAATTATATTTCCCCGATAATAGCAGTTCCACTTCTCGGCGTGACATGGACCGGGATTGTAAAGTGAACAGCCATGCTGGAGAGAAACTTGGAGGTATCTATCAAAACAACTCCAGTTAACAGCAGATTATGAATACCTATTTTCCTATATGTTCACCAAAATCAAGGATATAATCAAACTCATACGTTGTTTTGTGAATCTGATAACACCTTGCTTTATTTTTTAGGTTTCCTGGCTACTAAGATTTGACACATGAATTGCCTCTTGTCTAAAACGCTGGTTTTACATTCTTTGCCCATTTTTACTCATTGTCTTATAGAGTTTATTATCCTGCTTATTAATCCTCACCCAACTAAAAGGATTGCAAACATTTTTTGTCTGTTGCTTGTTATAATTTTACCTATATCGTCTTGCTATACAAGATATATTGATGCAACCAAACATATTTATTTTTCCCCCTTTGGCTTAAAGCATTTGGGGATTAAAAAAGGACTTTTTTTTTAGCCTAATGTTGAAATTTTTTCCACACATGCTCACATTTTTGTAGTTTTATTTCTTGTTTTTAAGTTATTAATTTCCAGATTGTATCATTTTGGGGAAATCAGGTAAGTGCGATAGAGATCTGATTTCCTTTTTCCAAATGGCCAGCCAGTTGTGTCAACAATACTTGTAGATTAGTCCAGCCTGTCAGAACTCTTAAGCCTCCATTTTCTACAGTGGATGAAAGCAAATTTATACTGCTTGTCCACTGTTTAAGGTGTTCAGACTTTTTAATAACTCTGACTTATAAACGGAAAGTGTTATATTTTAAGAATGTTCATGTTTTGTCTAGAATATCATAGATTTCAAAATAAACACTTTAACTATTGCTACTTACTATACGGGGGTTTTCCAAATGAACATTATCAGATTTTTCTTTAAAAGCAGATTTCTGAGCCCTATCCCCAGAAAACTATGTAAATAAGTCTGAAGTGAGGCTCAGGAATTTTCATTAAGCAATTAAGTGAATAAGGAAGTCAAAGTATTCTCTTCTTTCCTTTAACTTTTTACGTAGCTTATCCTAAATTAAAATTTTATGTTCAAGTTACAAAAACAAATTGTAGTGAGAATTTAGGAGCAAAGCAAAACAAGTTACTCAGTTTTACTTCTAAAGTGTAGGAAATGATAAATTGAATAAACTGTCTCACACAGATATACAGAACCCTGAGTGTTTACAGATAAACAATTATTTAAGATACTGTGGATCCTTAAAATTATCCTAAGATAACAAATACGATAAAAATGGGCAAAGAAAGTACAATACTCCTGATTTTGAATCCACTGCTAAATCCATTTAAACCTGATGAATTACTTCTAAAATTGAAAATCAATATATAAAGAAAGAAAATTCCAAGCCGACTTCAGTCTCTTTCAGTGACTACCTAAAATAAGCTTTATATTTCTAACATTTTGGTTTTGGCACCAACATTTCACACTATTTACACTACTGGACTTTGGAATTAAAAAAAGGTTTAAAAGTTGTACTTTGTACCTAGTCTAGAAAAAATTTTAGACTATGACACATACTTCTTAGGAAGCAAGATTTAATGCAATATTTTAAAAAAATTAAAAGGGGTTATATTGATTAAATGATAAGTATTACCTAAATAAGGGTCTTCTTTCTACCTCCTAGCCTCAGAAAATCTGATTCTATAGAGAATACATGTCCAAAGAGGTTAAAGAGATAATTTACTTAAATATATAACATATAAACACATTTATGATTCCCAGCCAAGGCTTAAGTTTAGTGAGCAGAGGGAGCTACGCTTTACGGCCAGTGACAACTACTATTTCTTTCCAGAACACACCTGTCAGAGCAAATGCAATTCTCTGTTTTTTTTTTTTTTTTCCTGCTCTCAATAAATGCATGGACCTTTCCTATCCACGTTCATACTTAACATATAAGACAAATTTGGCCAATGCCTCATTTCTCATTAGCTTTGGATTATGTCACAAATACCTTTAAAATTCCTTTGAAAAAGATAAGTCGAACCTTTCACACAATATCATTAAGTCCCTTAAAAATAAAAGGCAAAAGTGAATAGACACAAAGTTTTCTAAGGCAGAAAAAGTCTACCTCATATACCTTTCTAGAACTACGTTAATTCAAAACAAAGGTTTCAGTCAAAATATTTATTCTGTTCCTTAATTGGGTTAAACAGTCATACAAAGATTGTGAGCCTGCCTTAAATTTCTCATGTATTATACTTTAAATGTCCAAAACTTGATATAAAACCACACATGACCTAGTTTCTTTCACGATGCATACTGTAGAATCTCAGATTTAATCGTATGTGCTTTGAAATAAACACTCTCCTTGACCATTACTATTACAGATTTGAAAAGACCAGCTCCAGTTAGAGAGAGTTGCACAGTAATATCAATCAGGCCCTCAGTTATAGACATAAACACACAAGAAGAAGAGAGAGAAGTCCCTTCTCTTCTAGAGAGAGAAGAAATGAGAAGAGAGAAGGGACTAGAGAGAGAAGAAATGTTCATTTAAATTGTTTCCAACCGGTAGCAACCAGATCCAGAATACCAGTGTGGTGTGAGTGCTCCTTGAGGAATTAGGAAGGGTATTTTAACGTGTTTGAGGAATAACCACATGCCACACTAGCTAGGACTAATTAAATTATAATATTTAAGGATAACAATTTTACATGAAATACCATAGTTTTGAACAGAAAAACAAATTGCTAAACAGGAATTTCAAGCCTTCTGCGGTTAACAGAATCTCAAAGCCTTTCTCAAAAGTGAGGATGGAACACAAAGACAAAAAAACAGACTCAAAAAATTACTGTAAGACTGCAGGTAAGTTTTATTACCACCCCTGTGTTTCCACCAAACACTACAACCTGGAAGTCTTACCAAATCCTGAGGAACCGTCATTTAAAAAGATGTTAAAAAGGATGTACATTATCCTGAATACAAAGCAACAACAGAGGCCTAAGTGTTCCTGCCTTAAGGTGTGGAGCGACCAGCAGGACTACCTCACCAGACACCCCATTTCAGCATAGGCTCCCAGACGTGCTGCCATTGTCACTTTTTAAAAGGCGAAAGATTGATCTGATCTGAAGACAAACCAGAGCATTCATTTGAAAGCGCAGCCCTGGGAAGATTCACAGAGCGGCACAACCGCCACCTTGAATCCATTCTCAGGAATTTGCTGCAAACCGGAGAACCGAGTCAGGCTGTGTTCTGCACCCGAGAAGCAGGAAGCCATGTCAGCAACACTGGGACTTGCTCTCTGCGGGCGGGGTCCCTTCACCCAGTTTAATTTTGCTCCCATCATTTTCTTCACTGGGAAAGCTTTGGTGGTTCTCAAGAATATGCTCCACTAGGAACCGGGCTGCTTCGTCGATGTTGATGTTATCCTGTAACACAGAAATGAGGAATACGATCAATTCTTAGGATTAATTCTTAGAAGAAAGCATTAAGAGGATGAATGGGAACCGGGCAAATCCATCAGAGGGGGCATTATAAGTACCTCAGCTCCATGTTCTCCAATACTAAAGTGCTTGCTTACTAAGAGTTCAATGCTATTGAGTAATGTGGCCATGGAACCCTCTTCTTTTTACACAGATTCACCCTTCTTGATGTTCCTGTTTTAAACTCTGCCACTCAGGTTCAATCAACTGTCTCCATGGTTGAAAAGGAATCTTCACCCTGCTCTGGGTTGCCACTCACATGAATGAAAGTATTAAAATGAAAGAATTCCTGCCCTTGAATATCTAATTCAAAAATTCAGGATATATTGTGAAGAGAAATGTCAAAGGGCTCAGGCCACATTAAAATATGATAAATGCATCATGTCACTCTCCCATCTCACAAATTATGACTTTTAGTTGTCATGTATAAATGAATCTGGAACAATGTTGTTGGTATCACGTCCATTAAGGATAGCCTAAGGAATCACTAGCTGTCACATCTGTGTGATTGACTTCTAAGTCGTCATTAAACACACAATCAGTATTTAACATTTCATTTTTAAATAATTTCAGATTTACAAAAACATTGCAAAATAGTAAAAAATCTTCCTATATACCTTCACTCATATTCCTCAAACGTTAACACCTTAGATAACCAGAGTACAACTATCAAAATCAGGAAATTAGATAAAATTATTGTGTCAGCATTTATCTATCCACCTTATTCAAATTTCATCGTCTCAAGGTCCTATTTATGATGCAGGAGAGCAGCTGTATTTTGTGGTCATGTCTCCTTTAACCTGGGACAGTTCCAATCTCCTTGTCTTTCATGACCTCGACACTCCTGGAGAGTACCGGCCAGAGACTATCCCTCAGTTTGGGTCTGTTTGATGTTTCCTTATCATTAAATTCAAGTTATGCATTTTTGGCAGGAATACAACTAAGTCATGTGTCCTCAGTGTATGAGGAGCCATATTTGCTTAAAGTCATGACTGCCAGCCTTCTCTACTGAAAAGTTACTGTTTTTCCCTTTGTACTTAGTAACTACAAACATGTAAACATCCTGTTTTTCACCACACTTTTTCCCATTAATTTTAGAATCAAGTAATTCTTCCCTAAAACCATTATTACTGTGGTGTTTAATGGTGACTTTCTACTTCTATCATTCCTTCTACATTTATTGGTTGGAATTCTACTGTTAGGAAGAGCTTTCACTTCTCTCCCACTTATTTATTCATTTGTTTATTCATATCATGGGTTATTATTTTATTCTACAGATTAAATCCATTACAATATTATTTACTTTGTTGCTCAAATGGTCTTAGATTTTGGAGCCACTCTAAGTAGGCTCTTGTGTCTTTTTGACATGTCTCCACCACTTTGTGAGTGTTTCCTTGTTCCTGGCACCACAAAATATCTCAGGCACATCTTTCCTTTTCTTGTCTCACCAGTCCTGGAATCAGTCATTTCTCCACGGAACTCCAGTGGTTTTTACTGGAGAACAATATCTAAAGACCAAATTCTGAGGACTTGGGACGCTCATTGGTTCTGTGGTGTCATTGCTTCTAAGTCATCTCATATATACGTATATACACACACACATACACATAAACAAAGAAATATACATATTTATATATACAAAACGTGAAGTTCATATTACTCTCTCCAATTCCAACCCAACACCATGAGGTGCATTCTAGCTTTCTCCCTTCTGTGTTCTACCTTTTCTCAGACAGTGAGAAAGCTGCAGGACCTATGCTATTTATTCAGGTATCTTTTCCAGAATCAGCACAAGCTTTTTCACCTCTGCTCCCCAGATAAGTATCAACTTTAATTAGAGTATTGATCTTTGAATGTCCAAATGTCATTCAGCCCCCACGATCCCCTTTATATCAAATAATTATAATGTTCTCTAACTGCACTTAGTAGCAATCGATTAGGGACAAAATTTCCATATTGTAGTATAATTAGTTCATACTTTTTCATATTAGAAATCCGTTATTTGCCATAAAAGTGAAAAGATAAAATTCATGAATTCAAAACTGTGTTTTGGCTATGTTCCTTTTGGGATTCAGATTGCTAGAATTGAAGCAAAAGTCAGATTTGAAGTTAGCTACTGGCCAGCTCAGAAGCATAGGTTTTTAGTGACACTTTGGCAGTACTTTAAGCCTTGACTAAAATTTTTTTTTGAGGAAGATCAGCCCTGAGCTAACATCTGTTGCCAATCCTCCTCTTTTTGCTGAGGAAGACTGGCCCTGGGCTAACACGGTGCCCATCTTCCTTTACTTTATACAGGACACCACCACAGCATGGCTTGACAAGCAGTGCGTTGGTCCGCACCCGGGGTCTGAACCTACAAATGCCGGGCTGCCAAAGCGCAGCACGCGAACTTAACCGCTACGCCACCAGGCCGGCCCCTTGACTAAAATTTTTAACCTAAATTTTATATTACTGTTATTCTCTTGGAACATCTTGATTTATTACTAAAGAAATTCTGCAGATGGTGTTTCTAATATATTTGCAGGAAAGCACAGAACATACTTGAAACTTATACCCTTAACCAATGTTTCTTCCTCACCTCTACATGTAACCCTGTGTATAAATTTAACGAAGCTGATGACTCATAGTCTCAAGCTACAGGCCACACGACACCATCGTTTACAAATATTCCATGTAGAATCTGGGGACAAATTTGGATTTCTTACCTGAATGATTAATTCAAATAAAACATAAAGAGGAAATTTTATCTGCAATACATACATCTCCTCCACTAAATTTCATGATCTAATAAATATTTACACAAACCCACTAATTTTTTTCCACCAAAGCTGAAAGTGACACAAATCACCTAACAAACACAGAGCAGGCAGAGGGCATGGCTTCCGGAACAAGTCTCTGTAAGAAGCCTTCCCTCTGTGATCTCTTCCCTCTTGTCTGGCTATGTGCTCATGCAGCACCTCTGGGCTTCATTTTTCTTCCACCTCTACTTTTATTTATACAACTAAATTTTAAGATGCTAGGATATATTTATTTAAACAAATTGCCTTTAGCTCAGGAGTAAACACTTCTGCCTCTAGCAGACATTATGTTTTCCAAGGATTCCATCATCACTCAGTATTTTCAGAGCATCTTTTTGTGCAGTCTCTCATAGCTTTGCTTTCATTATTCTGATCATCAGTGGCACCAAATCATCTTCCACTTTCTGGGTGGGTTTCTGGTATAGCTAAAAGTATTAAGTAGGTGATTTGGAAGAACCACACTTTTTAAAAAATATATACAAGAAATTCATAGAAGGCATCCTAAAAGCTGTAACTGTGTTAAGATTACACCAAATTTATGGTTTTGAGTTTGTCACCACGGAATTTCTCAACCATTTCATCATTCTTACATAAGTCTGTCATTTGATCTCTAAAGGGAAACTTCCAATGCACATAAACAAGCCCTTTTCCCCCAAAATTCTGTCCTTGTCATTTTCACTTTTGCCTTCTTGTATATCTAGACTGTTAAGATTTTTCAACAGCCAACTTAAGCTTTCGTTTCTCTTCAAAAAATATTTTATCCAGCTTCTGTAATGGACAAAAAAAAAAATTCTCACTTTACTATTCATGAAGAAGCATGTCACAAATGTTGATATCTTCATCTTGTTCAAATTCTTTCACAAATAGTTAACATAAAACTCTTCAAACATCATCTGATTACGTTCCCTCTGACCTTTTCAATGCCTTTGTTAGTCCTACACATGACCTACGTCTTCACGAGGGACATCTGTGTCTATGTTTCATTAAGCATTCCATAAGAATCAAAAATACTTGTGCTTGACAACACACTTCATTCCCCATAAACTCCAGTTGCATGAGAAATGCTTCATTTAAAGACTCAAACTCACAGACAATGTCATTGTTCTTTGCTCTAAATCATAGCTGATTTTTATTTTATTTCATTTTGGTAAGGAAGATTGTCACTCAGCTAACATCTGTGCCAATCTTCCTCTATTTTGTATGTGGGACATCACCACAGCATGGCCTGAAGAGTGGTGTGTAGGTCTGCGCCCGGGATTTGAACCCACAAATCCCAGGCCGCCAATGCGGAGCCCACAAACTTAACTACTACACCACCGGGCAGCCCCAAGCTCGTTTTTTTTTTAACGTAAAATCTACCATTCTATTCACTCTCCACTAACCGATTTTGAAAGCCTTTCTGCTGCTGACTGAAAGAAGCTATAACATATCCATGCTCTGCTTCCAAAAACCACTGACATAAATCCCTCTAAATACTGTATAGTTACAGCTCTGATATACAAGGTAACAGCAGAGCAGACACACACGCAAAGCAGATCTCACCTTCGCAGAGGTTTCAAACCACCCACTGAAGCCATGTTCTTTGCAGAACTGGTCCATCTGGGGAGGACTCTGGCCACCATCCTTTTTCTGGTCACATTTATTAGCCAAGAGGACAGCGGGAATAGGGCTGCCATTCGGAAGATGGACTTTACTATCCAGATCACTCTTCCATTTTAAGACCGCCTCAAACGTGGAACCTCTTGATAAATCAAAGACTACGAAAGCTCCAACAGCTTCCTTGTAGTATACTCTGGTCATGTTGCCAAACCGCTCCTGCCCTAGAAATAAATATAAGAAGAGATTAAAAAGTCATAATTCAGACAGAGTCTATATTTCGATATAACCCCTCTGACCTGAGAATAATGCTATGAACACGTATCTCCCATTCCATAGCAACATAAACTGGTGGGATTAAGGCCATATGCATAGAACCCGACCCACAAAGCAGAAGTGGCTGATCATGTGGTCTAAGCACAGAATTAACTAGTTTTATGTTCTGGCGTGTACAACTCATTCTCCATAAACACAAGATGACAGTACTTAAAGCTACAGAATCCACCATTCTCCAGTCCACTCCCCTTGGTTTAAGAGACCAGACAAGAATAGAAGAAAATGAAGCTTGCAGGAAGCAGATAAGTATGGTGGGTAAAATTCTAGTCAAAAAGATTAGGACTAGACACGAGATAAAGAGCTCAAGTTTTTAACTCATCTTTCCTTCACATCTCTAGCCTATACCCACTCTTGACTCAATATGCAAGACTGCTCGCCTCTAAGAAGGCAGACACGCAAACCTACTATTTTAGAACAAAAAGTGGCACAACTTCTTATTAAAAGAAGGATCAATCACAGAATTCTTCAAATATCACTGTAGTTTTAAAGTAATTTAACATGTTACATACTTTGGGGAAAAAATTTGCTTAACATACCATATCGGACGTTGCAAAGCATTCTCTTACTATCTGCTATCATACTATTCTTTGACATAGGAAGGACTCTTATCTTCATCTGACGGACAGAAAAAGATGCAGAGTCGCCTGGCCAGGAGTACACAGCACCGACTAAAGAAGGCTGGACTTGAACGTGGGTCTTCTGACTCCCACACACCACAGAAATATGATGCCAGCCATTCTGAGCTATCTTGCAGCTGCCTTGACTTCTGCAGCTTGTATCTTCAGTCTGTCAAGCTAGTGACTAGAATGCTAAGGAAAAATGACTGGCAATCAATGCAAATCTAAGATTTCTAACTCTCTGACCAATGATAAAAACAAGATGATAGGACACTTTCCTATTAAAACACATGATGAAACACATGCTTTATCTACATTTTATTAATAGTAACAAATGCAAAGCTATGCCCAAATTAATATTTTTTCCTTCTCCGAATTCTACTGTGCCATCATACAATTTTAGATATTGCTTAATGGAATAATGAAAGAATACAACAGTCAAGATTAAATGGATAAACTTCAAGTTCATTTGTTTTGTAACGCCTCAAATAGGCTTCCCTGAAGCTGTATTGTGATAGCCCAGAGGTCTGAATTTTATCACAACAAATGGTCACATATGAAACCCCACTATCACGCTCACATTTTATTGGTAATGTAAATCTGATCCGCCAACTCTATGGTTTATTTGATCACAATACTGACATTGTAAAAACTTAACGTTGTACAATTTTCCATAAACCTACATTTAATAATCACAGAGGCTATGTCGACTGTTCCAAATCAATATCACTGTTCTGCAAAAAGACTACGTAGGTTCATTGAAGTGGTTTCGACTCCAATTTTAACTAGAAAGTACACATGACCGATGACTTTGATTTTTATGAATTTTAATTATTAAATATGAAATGACTATGCCAACTAGGGAAATTAGCCTCATTCAGATATTCCAGATTACAAGATTATTACATAGTTATAAGAAAGTATTCCCTTAGACCATCCCTGCAATTTAGAACAGAGGGTAGGGTGCCAAGCTAGTAAAAGTATAGAAATTCAGTAAGTTAGAAAGAGATCTTTAGCTTCAGTGACTGTGGCTTTGTTTATTGAATCATCCATAAATCCCTAAAAATATTTCTTTCTACCAATTATACTAAATCACATTCGAATTTATACTCATATAAACTTTCTGGTAAAGTATACGAAAACCAGAAATGTATATGACAAGGAATTTTCGAGGAGGACCCTGTGGTTTAGCAATATCAATTAATTTTCTTTAGGTTGCAAGACGAGGATTCAAAACTCCCTACAATCTCAACATCATAGGGTGCTTTCTAAGAACCACACAATAGGGCAACTCAGAATAGTGTCAATTACACGGTTAAGCGAATGAAAAGGAAAGGTATAAACTAGAAGGAAAAAATGCAAATCCTCTATCTGAGAAAGGACTTGTACGCAGAACATATAAAGAACTCTCAAAACTCCAAAGTAAGAAGATAAAAATTCAATTAAAAATGTAAGCAAAAGACTGGAATGGACGCTTTATCAAAGAATATATACGATGACAAATAAGCCCAGGAAAAGATGCTCAGCATCATTGATCATTGGGGAAATGCAAATTTAAACCACGTGAGCTGCCCCTTCAGGCCCACAAGAATGACTAAAATTAAAAACTGCGACTACACCAAGTACTGGTGAGAATGTGGAGTAAGTGGAACTTTCCTACACTGCTGGTGAGAATAGGAATTTAAAATAGTACAACCACTTTGGGAAACTATTTGGCAGTTTCCTAAAAATTTAAACATCCGTCTACCATACAACCAACGCATATCACTCCTAGATATCTGCCCAAACAAAAGAAAAGCACATATTCATACAAAGTCATGTTCACAAATGCTTATACCTGCTTTATTTTAAGTAGCCAAAAACTAGTAGCAACCCAAATGTCCATCCACATAGGAATGCATAAACTATGGTATATCCACACAATAGAATACAACTCAACAATAGACGGAAGAAACTATGGATACAAGTAACAACATAGATGAATCTCAAAATAATTATGCTGAGTGCAAGAAGCCAGATCAGAGAGGGAATAGGCAATACAATGAGTCCATTTACATCAAATTCTAAAAAACAAAAACTATAGTGATATAGTGAAGGAAAGCAGATCAATGATTACCTTGGGCAAGGCTGGGGCACGGATTACAAAGGGGCAAGAGGAAATACTTTTGAGGTGATGGAAATGTTTGCAATCTTGATTGTAGTGATGTTTCACAAGCGTATACATATGTCAAAACTTATCAAATTGTACATTTTATTGTATGTCAACTGTACTGCAATAAAGCTATAAAAAAAATACTATCTACCTCTGATGGTCACCGGGAGGGTTAAATGTAGAATTCCCATCTGGGAGTCTTTTAGGGAAGTTTAGCAAACTATAGCTCATGGCCAAATCCAGTTAAATCAAGTTTTATTGGAATACAGTCACTCTCATTCATTTCTGTATTGTCTATGTCTGTTTTCATTCTACAATGGCAGAGTTGAGGAGTCACAACAGAGAATAAGTGGCCCACAACTTAAAATAATTTCTCTCAGGACCTTTACAGAAAAAGTTTGATGATTTCTGTTGTAGGGGGTCAGGAATAGTCTATAGCTTGAACCGGAAGAGGTATATAAAAATTCACCAAGGCATACACTTAAGGTCTGTGCATGTAGCTTGTACTTCAAGTTCAAAATGTGTAAAACACCAGGTCCATAGTAAGCACTGAATAAATGTTAGCTAATATTATTATTAAGTGCTCCATAAATGTAGTGCATAATGAAAGCCTGAGTATCCTTTTTAAAATGGTGCCAATTAAACACGGCAAAGCCTTAAACCATTAGCTAGTCACGTGCTGGACCTTGTAGTGGTCAAAAGTTTGCAGAGGAAAGTGAACTTGAGGAAAGCATAACTGTACTAGAAAATCAAAATATCAAGCACTCAATGGTCAAGTAACCCCAGGCAACGAGCTTTCTCTTCCTAACCAAGCCAATTGTCTTTGAGATCTTTGGGGATCATCGAAGTCCCTTCCAACTGTCACTTTGATGTTTAAGTTTGTGTTTTAGGTTAGATGTGTTACAACTTCAGTGTGACAATGATTTTCTAAAGATTCTACAGTCATTGAATCCAGACAGTAATGGGGATCAACTGTAAATGATCCAGCATCAAAAGGCCAAGTCCATGCGTTTAGGGAAATCGCTTATTTTCCAAAAGAATAGTAAAATATACTTCCTATTTTACTGAGTTTGTATCTTTTTTAAAAAAAATTCTGAAGTAACCCCTTCGCGCTTCAGAGCTATTCCTGACCTGGTAAAAACAAGTAAGAAACAAAATTTTCTACAATACATGAAGTTTAATTAGGAAGTAGAGAAAGACAAGATGGACTGATGTAAAATAAAAATTTTAACATAAAATTAAGAGCTGCTCTCCACATACCTAACGGGTGAAATCTAGATTTAACTGTGTTGTTTCAAAGGTTTAAATAAATAGATATGGTAAGCTCTTCTACTTGTTAAACTTAATTTACTTCTGCTACTAGAGTAAGAGTTACATCCTGTATCTTTGTTATGCTTTCACTCTGGGTAGTTTTGGCTATTCGTTTACTATTGTGTAAAACAAAAACTCCAGTGGAAAATAAAACTAATGTTCATGAATATTCCATTCTCCTCCACTTATAAGTGCATACAGGATCACATTTTTCTGCCCCCCTTAATTAGGAGTGGCCAAGAAACCAGTCTTGGCCAACGAAATGTGAATAGAAGTGTCGTTTCCAAGCAGAATCACTTAGGTGCCAGCGTTCTTCTCCTGCAGCAAGGCCTGAACTCTGATTCTGAGACGACCCTATCATCAGATGGTAGAGCTTCTGTTAGCCTGGGTCTTCAGGTGGCTCCAAGGAAAAACTGCCCTTATACCTCCCCATCACCCCCAAACCTCTGCCTCCTACTATGGCCATGTAGAAAGAGTTGAGGAATAATGATTTTAAACCACAGAGATTTTTAATGTCGCTGGAACCCCAACACAACCTAGACTTTCCTGCCTGATACAACTCCCAAATCTCTTTTTACCTCTTATATCCAGATCTGATCTCTACTAAAAAATGTTTTATGTTCCTTCCATGGACCAGGCACTGTACTAGACAAAGTACAGTACTTTCATGAAAATAATGAAAGAATGAATATGATTCCCACTCCTAAGGAGCTAAAAGTCTATTTGAGGAAATAGACAAACTGATACCTTGATGTGATAGGTGTAATCTGAGATATGAAGAGCATATTATGGGATCAGGCAAGAGGAT